GTCTGGACGGTGCCACTCACACTGCCTGCTGGCAGTCTCTGAGACGTGGCAGGCCGCTCTGCTCCTGGGTGGACAGTGAGGACTGACCCAGCGGGACAGGGTGTGGCGGAGTGGGGGGTCTGGCACCGGGCAGGGACCTGACACGACGAGGGCTGATTGAGCAGGACCTCAAGGAGGGGCTGACAGACAGAGCGGGGTCTGGCCCCGAGGAGCAGGGACTGCACAGGTAGGATCTGACGCAGAGGCAGTCCATCCTAGAGGTTCAGGGTCTGAGGTGGACGGGCTGCACCTGCCAGAAGGACTGGGGTCTGAGATGGACGGGCTGCACCTGCCAGAGGGCTGGGGTCTGGCATGGAGGGAGCAGGGGCTGACTGCGGGGTGGGGGTCTGAGATGGACGGGCTGTACCTGCCAGAGGACTGGGGTCTGAGATGGACGGGCTGTACCTGCCAGAGGGCTGGGGTCTGAGATGGACGGGCTGTACCTGCCAGAGGGCTGGGGTCTGAGATGGACGGGCTGTACCTGCCAGAGGGCTGGGGTCTGGCATGGAGGGAGCAGGGGCTGACACAGAGGAGTTAGGGCTGACTGGGGGGCAGGGAGTTTGATGTGGAGGGCTGGGGTCTGGCATGGAGGGAGCAGGGGCTGACTGGGGGGCGGGGGTCTTATGTGGAGGGGCGGGGCAGAGGCTGCCCTCACTTCCAGAAACAACTGGCTTCCTCACGAAGCCAAGTGTGAGGGCCCAGGCCTGGCAGCGCGGGGTGATTCCACGGGAGCGAGAACAGGGTCCGAAGGGGGCACCAAGAGCTCTAGGCAGGGGATAGGGTGGACACCCCACCCCACAGGTGAGGTCAGGCAGGCTACCAGGGTGGCTGGCAGAGGAATGGGGTGGGGGTGAGGGGCGTTGACTGCCGGGCACCCCCAGACACAGCTCCACGGATTCTCTAGCCCCGGAAGCCAGTCCTGGAGGAACCAGAGCCGGGGTGGATGTGGCTTCCCCACCACAGGCGCTGGGACAGGCAGGTGTGTGACATCCCCTACTGAGCTGGGCGTGCGCCGGGTGAGGAGGACACGCAGAGCACACGGCTTCACCAAACGCTGGTCTCGGCATGTGCACCACATAATGGCACGCTTGTGTGGCTGTGAAGGCTCTGGCAGAACCCCAGCCCTCGAGCCCCCGGGCCTGCTCGGTGCGGGTTGGAAAGTGGGCCTGGCCCTGTGACATGGAAGGGGATCAAGTGGAGGGGCCAGCCCCCACCTGGTCACAGCACAGAGCAGCCCCACGGTGGCCCGGACGGCCGGCGCAGAGAAGCCCCGGAAGGCCCTCCTACCTAGGTCCCCCGCCGACTTGATGTCAATGTTGTCGAAGCCGCTGCCGATGCGCACGATGATGCGGAGCGCTTTGAACTTCTCCAGGTCCTCCCGCGTCAGCGTGATGGTGTGGTACATCAGGGCCCCCACGGCCTCGTTCAGGACCTGCATGCGCCAGGGACAAGCATGGCGTCAGGGCGGCCCCATCCCGGGGCACCGCCAGGTCCACGGCTCTCAGCTGGGCGGAGGGCAAGGGGCCTGCTGCCTGGCCCCCCAAACCAGCCCAGGTGCCAGGAGACGCCATGCGGGTCCTGGGGCAAGGCCTTGGGTGGCCCAGGGAGGCGCTGCCGGCCTAGAGAGAGGCTACACAGAAACCAGAACCAGGGAGAGGTTACCAAGACCCCAGGAAGAGTCCCTACCCCCCAGGCCCCTGGTGGCAGGCGTCCTTAGCAGCCCCTTCACCAACCAGCCTGGGGGGGGGGGTTTGGGGGGGGGGGTTGGGGTGAAGGGGGGGGAAGCCTGAAGCCACCGCATTCCGAGTCAGCAGCAGTAGGACGTGTACCCTGCTCCGGACTCCGGGCCCAGACCTTGCCACGGGCACGTGTGGCCCTGGGCCACATCTCCTGCCCGGTGGCTCTCACCACAACGGAGGCAGCACGCAGCCGAACTGCCGCATGAAGTCAAGCCAGCCACCTGACTTGGATCCCAAGAAATCCGATTTCAAGGCCCGGGGGAGGCGCAGGTTAGTGACACTGAGTTCTGGCTGCCTTGAGTCCCCGGTCCGGCTCAGCCAGCACAGAGGGTGCTCCTCAGAGAACGGGCCCAGAGTTTGTGCTGCAGGGATGCCCACTGCCCTGCGACTCACAGACAGCCGCAGAAGCTCACGGGGCTGGTGCTGTGGGGAGGTGCCAACTCACCACGACCCCGTCCAGAACAGAACGCAGCCCAGCCTGGTCCTGTGCCGCCCTCACCAAGGTCCCCACGCCAGAGCCCCTGGTGGCAGCCACCGTGTCCAGGGCCTTCCTCTTTCTTGCTGTCCCTCCACCTCACCCCGCAGGGCCTCCTTCTCCAGGCACGGGGTGACGCTGACAACACAGCCCAAGTCTGGGCATCCCGGCCTCTCGGGAGCACTCTGGCGGTACTCCTCTCTCCCAAGACAGACCGGTTTGTCCTCTTGGCAGCCCGCCACACTCAGTCGTCTCCTCCAGCACCGTCATCCACGCACCGGTTCTTCTTCGGACTCTCGCACTCAGTGTCAACGGTCACAGGCGTTTCAATGTGTCAGCAGGCTTTGTGTCGTGGATCTGCCCGACGCACGGTGTCTCCCGATGCAGGAGCACTGGCCAGGGACCCAAGGGAGGCGACATCCTAGACACCTCTGATCCTCGGCACTGGCCTGCGTGTCGCTGTGGGGTGGGGAGCGATGTCACCCCTAGGGTGACCCAAGGTGCACAGTTTCGGCAGAGCATCCAGACTCGGGACAGACAGACGACCCCGGAGGAATGGGTTTCTAACACGAGGAACCGACGTTAGGTAAACTGGGGGACGCACACATGTGCAACCACCGCAAAGAGTGCTGGGCGAGAAGGCGGGGCCCAAGGCGCCCGAGACACCGTGATTTCTACCAGCTACAAAGCCACTCGGGGGCCGTTCACGTGTGGGACCGAACCTGCCGGAGAAGTGGGACCCCTTAGGAACCAGCGTGAGTGGGCGGGCCACCGGGACCAGCCCCCGCGTGAAGAAGGGTGCTCATCGCATCAGCAGTCTTCCCCATCCCACAGGCAGCACGGCGCGCACACGGGCGTCACCACGGGCTGCTGACGACATGGATCCCCGGAACACCAAATGCTCTCCTGGGGGCGCACGGCAGCGCCGACACTCTGAAAAGCGGGCCACAAGCCACCGTGCTCTGAGGTAGGAGTGGAAGTCAAACACAGATGCACCGGTCCTGGAAGGCCCACAGGAGCACCGCTGGGGACAGCTCCCGCTGGACGGTCCAGCTGAAGGCTCAGAGAGCAGAGGCTGCGCCGGGGCAGGGCCACACGGCACGAGTGACGCGCACCCAGCGGGCTCCTCCTCCACCCACAGGGTCAGGTGTAAGGTGTGCCTTCTCGGTCTACGGGGACACGCTGACTCCCTGCCTTCTCTGGACATCCTGTCTGTGCTGGTGTTGTCTGCACACGCGAGCACATGGGGCGGTCTCAGTCGGAGAGCACGTATCCCGATCTCCTCCTTCCCCTCCGCCTGCCACTCCTGCCAGCTTCTCCGGGTCTGGTTTCCGGCAGGGAGCGAAACGAGGCACAACGGGCTCAATTCCTCCCTGACCTGGGCCCCAGACCCATGCAGGGGCGGGGCTTCTTCCTCCTCCGGCACCTCCCAGGGCCCTTCCTCCTCTGACCCTCAACCTGCCCCTCCTGTTGCCTCTGTCTCTGTTCTCAGCAGGGTTCCTCCCGGCACTTCACGCTCCTTGAATTCGGGGAGTTTCCACGGAGCTCTCCTGTCGGGACCGTGGACCGTCTCCCGCCCGGCCTCTCCACCAGGGCACGTGCTGGCCACGCCTGCTGGGGTCCCCCTGCTGCCCCTTGGCCAGACCTGCTTCCTGCCGGCCAAGCCTGTCGGTCCTCCACCTCTGTCACCATGTCACTCTGAGAGCATTAGCCCAGGGAGCCACGGGAGGTCTGCTCGACTCGGCGTAATTCCCACCCGAGGACAGCCAGCCCCGTTCTGCTTGCGCCCTCGCTGAAGGGCACCTGGGTGGTCTCCAGGCTGGGCTACCACAGAAGGGGCTGCTCCAAGCACCCCGAGCGCTGACGTGGGTCTTGTTATCCAGACTGACTGCTGCTCCTTTTACACAGCACTTGGCTCCTCCTGGACTCCGGCCCCCGCTGAGGGCACTGCAGGCACTCGGTCTCCCCAAGAGCCAGCGAGACGGGATGGGTGCCGCTCTCAAGCTGTCCCAGCATCCCCTCGGGGAGCCATTCCTACTGGACTGTTTGCTTTTTCCCCATTGGGTTCTGAGACTTCCTCGTAGACTCGAGACGCCACCGGTGCTTGGTCAAGTTGGCACTTGGTTCCCAAGTGCTGCGGCCCAGGAATTGCCCATCTTTCTGCCCTCCGGCGAGGCGCACTGTGGCAGAACGGACGTGTCTGGTTTTGATACAGTACCGCTGACACCGTTTCCCGTCAGGAATTGTGTATCAGAGGGCTCGGTGCGCCTTAGAGCCAGTCGCCGTCTCCTGGAGCTTACTCTAAAGGTCTCGCCCCACCTGGGTGGGGCGTCCAGGTCTCTGAAGGTGTGAGCGTTTCCGGTTCTACTTCTGAGGCCTCTGGCCGTTAACGGCAGGCCTGTTGATCCTGCGGCTGGTCCAGCACCGTTTGCGGAAGAGGCTACCTCTCTCCTCCACTGGGTGCTTTTATTTTTGCAAACCATCTGTCAAAACTCAGGTGGGTGTACAGAAGAGGGGGTCTACCTCTGGGACCGCTTCTGCCCCTCTCCCTGTCATTTCCCTGGAGGCAGCGGGTCCGCTGGGGCCCATCGTGATACCAGAGGACAGAGCACACGCTGGCCTGCTCGGAGCGAGCGCTCGAAGCCCTGCTGACGAGAATCAAAGACCACGGCCTCGGTGTGAATCACCGCTGAGCACGAAGAGGGCAGGAAGCGTCGTCCCTGGACCAAGGTGCGGCCGGCCTGCCGAGGGCTTCCCCTGGACCAAGGTGCGGCCGGCCTGCCGAGGGCTTCCCCTGGACCAAGGTGCGGCCGGCCTGCCGAGGGCTTCCCCTGGACCAAGGTGCGGCCGGCCTGCCGAGGGCTTCCCCTGGACCAAGGTGCGGCCGGCCTGCCGAGGGCTTCCCCTGGACCAAGGTGCGGCCGGCCTGCCGAGGGCTTCCCCTGGACCAAGGTGCGGCCGGCCTGCCGAGGGCTTCGCTGCGCGCAGAACCAAGCGACCAGGAAGTCAAAACCTGCAGCGGGAGCGCGCTTTGAAGCGTAGAAGACAAGGGTCCACTTTGAAGACCAAGGCGCGCCTGACTCGAGCCAGGCTGTTTCTGACCCCTCCGGGTGGGTGCCCAGGAAAGCTGGAGCATGGAAAAGGAAGATGGGAGGATGGAGGCCCTGGGATCACGGCGCTGGCCAAGAACGAGGCACACGGCCCCAGCGCGAGCACGTGTACGTCAGGGCAGGTGCGTCCGAATACTCCTGGCGGGGCGCTTTGGTTCTCCGCGTCGGCAGCAGTCCCTGGAGAAGGACACCATGTGTGGTCAAGTCAGAAGGTCCCAGAGCAAGACCCTAGAACAGGATGGGTGGCACAGTGGTTGCAGCAATGGGTGTAACCACGACGACGGAGGACCAGCCAGCCGGTGTTTCGCTCCGCGGGTTCGAGAGTTTTTGGAAGTGTAGCTATGATGCGTCTCGGTGGGTTTCTTCTGTTTGGGGCTCGCTCACCTTCAGAAATCTGTAGGCTTGTGTCTCTTGACAAATTGGGGGGCAGGAAGGAGTGGGTGGCCGTTACTGCTTCAGGGACTTTCCGGTCCTTCTGGGACACACGTACCCGATCTCTGGTGACCCTGAAGGCCCCCTCAGGCATCCTGTGGCTCGGTCTCCCCAATTGCTGATGTCTCTTGACCCCCGAGCTCGATTGCTGCCTTGTTGCAGTGAGCCGCTGCGCTCTGCTGCGCGTGGAGTCCGTCCTGTCTCCGCTCTTGTGTCTTCACCGCGCCCCCGTCTCTGCGGAGACTTTCCGGCCGTCCCTGCTGGCTGCCTGGAAACCGGTTATGTCTTTGTCATCTCAAGGTTGGCACCTGTGGACTGGCTCTGTATCCACTCGTCTGAGGTCTTCCTGGTCCCTGCCATGAGAACTGTGACCTTGGAGCATGATTCCCGGGTCCCGGATCGCACGCACGGCGCCTTCTGCTTTAGCTGCTTTCCCACCGCCCGGGGCGGGGGTGGGGGGCGGGGACAGGGACACATTGCCCGTAACAGCTTCTTCTGGGTATCGTTACCCTGCGTTTGTGAGTGACAGCGGTTGAAAGGTCCACTCTCCAAGCATTCACAAGGGACGCCTGGGAATGGCTGTCAGAAGTGAGTGGTGCTGGCTGGGGTGGGATGGGAGTGCGTGTCTGCGAGTCCGCGTGGCCGGGCCACGAGGCTCAGCGTTGGCAGTTAAGGAACGCCGCAGCCTGTCTCCGTCGTCGCTGCACGGGGCCGGTTTGCGTGCCAAGACCTGGCCTCTGGAATCTCCCCACGTCAGGAAGCAGAAGCCCAGGTTCCCCATGTGACCTTCGATGAGAACTAAGGAGAGGTCCTTGTCACTGGTGAGGAGGTGACAGTCTCACTGTCCCTGGACAGCAGTCAGAGTCCTGACTGTCCACTGGGCCTCCTCCTGAGCCCAACAGGAGGGAAGGGCACCGTGAGGCCCCTGCCTGGGTGGGTGAGGTCCGGGCCCGCACCCAACCCTGGCCCGTGTTCTGCACTGACCCTGTGGAAGGGCCTCGTCTCAGGACAGCAGAAGCCACCTGACACCACAGAAGTGGGGAGACACGTGCCTCATTCTACTCAGGGGCCAGGTGGCCCGCTGAGCCTGGCTGCCCTGTGGGGTGATGGAGTCTGCCTGCGGTTGCCGTCACCGCGCTCTGGGCGCAGGCGCAGTCTGTACCTGCTGCCGGCATCTCCGGCGCTGCTTCTGCGGCTCCAAGGCTGAGGTGGAGGCCACAGGGAAGCCCGCGGCACTCACCGCTGCGTCCCCTCGGGCCCAGGCACCGCCAGGCTGGAGTGCTGCTCACCTCCGCTGCGTGCCCTCGGGCCCGGGCCCCGCCAGGCTGGAGTGCTGCTCACCTCCACCGCTCCACCTTCCCGGAGCGCTCAGTGCCCTTGTGGAACGCCCGGCTCAGTCCCGTTCCTACTCCCCAGTCCGTGAGAATCTTCCAACACCCGGGGCGTCGGGGGCTCTGCTTCTGTTGGCTCTTATTTCTGCTGCCTGTTTCGCAGATGCCCCTGGCCGTGTGGCAGACGCTTTGCCGCCCCTGGGAACCATCTGTGAGAGGGACTGCCTGCACACAGGACTTTCCATCTGCCAGGGGCCAGGGCGCAGGGACCCAGGGTGGCCTGTGACCCGATGCCAGCTTGGCGCAGGTGTTGGTTAACTGGCTGGGGACGGTGAGAGCATGCTGGTCCCTCTCAAGGTGCCCTTGGCTGTCTCACCCTGAGCCAGCCACACCCTCTCAGAGGGGGACCACCCCGGACACCCCTCCAACCCAAAGCCCAGCTCAACCCCTCAGGCCCCTCCCTCAGGAGAATAACCAGGCCCAGACCCCGCCTCTCTCGAGTCCGGCTGTTCTCGGTGCCTTTCCTTCCTACAGTCAGTGCAGCAGACAGCTCGCTCTTAGGGATGCGGGAAAGCAGCCACGGCGCAGTCTGCATCCGTCGGGAGAGCCCCGGGGCGGCTCAGATGCTGAGGGCCTTCGGCACCAAGCTCCCAGGGCAGGGTCGGGGTAGAAGGCCATGGCAGTGAGCAGTGCCAACCAGGGGACTAGCAGCACAGCTCACCACAGCCACGCCAACCTCGCCCTGCACAGCACGAGAGGAGGGAGGGTCCACTCTATGGGGGAGGAAGCCTGGCGGCAGGGAACGGGGCACAGGCTCAGGCTGGGGCACCCTCACCTTCTCGTGGATCTCCTGGGTGGACTGGGCGTCACAGAAGGCCACGGTGGCCACGTCCTTCAGGATGGGCATCTCCACGGTGCAGTCTCGGCCGTCCAGAAGCGCCACCAGGGGCCGTGGGTGCAGGGGTCCGTTCATGATCGGGGGTCGGACGCCTGCAATGACAGGATGGGTCACTCAGCCCCTGCGCAGCCCCGTGCCCCTGCCGCTCACCTGGCCCATGAGCGGACCTCCGGATGGTGGTCTCTGACCACAGGAATTACAGGATGGTGGGGGGTGGTCCTACAGCCAGACCCCTGTCCTCCAAAGGTAAGCAGGCCAGGCTGACGGGCTGGGGTTGTGGGCTGTGGAGAAGGGTGGGGGGCTGGCACTGGGCGGCCTCAAGGGGCTGCAAGGGCACAGTCCTGACATCCTTTCTGCCAGGCGCCTGGGTCTGACGGCGATGGTGTGTTCTGCCCGCAGGCCGGGGAGTCTGAGATGATGACAGCAGGAAAGGGTTCCGGCAGCCCCTCGGTAGCAGCAGAGCCTCTCACAAACCCTCCCAGGGGCCCACGGCCACAGGTCGGCGAGGGCGGTGACAACAGCCAACTGGTTCCCGGGGCACCTACAGCCTGTGTGCTCCCCAAGGGGCAGGCGCCGCCCACCTTCCTCGGTGCTACTGTGCCGTGGGGCTGCACAGCCTCCAGCGCAGCTCCCAAGCACAGACCCAGAGGCGAGGCGGGCGGTGTACTTCCAGAAACCCTAAGGGTCCCAGCCCCCGGCCTGCGGTCACAGTGAGTCGGGGACCAGCCCACAGCAGTGAGCGGCTAGAACCCTTGGCTCCAATGGCAAGGTCGGCAGCTCAAACCCCCCTGGCCTCTGCAGTGGGGTGGGTGAGACTGTCCACCCAGCAAGGACTCCCAGAGGAGACTCCACGCAGGGTCACAGGGAGCTGGCACTGACTGAGGACAGGGGGGTTGGGAGGGCCTGTGGGCATCTCGGGCTGGGCCCCTTGTATCCAAGGCCAGAGGGGACAGCAGCAAGCAGGTCACAGGACAAATGGAGAGCCGCGCTGCCGTGGCCACAGCTCAGGGCCAGGAGACAGGACGGGAAGGCACCTCTCTACCGCCGCATGCAGGACCCCCGCTGACACCCCAGATCGGAAGGAAGCAACACCTGTCACTCTGACTACCTCACGTCTCCGTGAGCGGGAAGCTGCTCGCAGACCCTCCCCCCCACGCCGGGCCCTCACAATGCCGGGGCGACTGCTCTGAGGCCCCCTCCCCCCACGCACGCATGTCGGCAAGACACTGCTAAGAGGCCCTGATGCCGGGTCACTCCACAGCCAGCGAGTTCCTGTGCAATGGGCCCCCAGATCCCACCCGAGCTGCCCGCGGCTTCATGAGGGCAGAGCCCGGCTCTGGGCTCCAGGCGGCACTGCAGCTTCGGGCTGAGCAGATCCCCGATGGAGACAGGAACCCCCCGGGTGCAGCGTGCTGTGGCTGGCTAACCCGGAGGCCGCAGCTGGGGCCCACCAGTCACTAAGACGGAGAGAGAGAGACACACACGGGCGTTCTACTCCCGGGACCGTGGGGCAGGCCTACCCCGTCCTCCAGGGTGGCTGCGAGGCGGCATCGACTGGGTGGCAATGGGTTTGGTTTGGGGTTTGGAGACCCAACCGGTGATAGGTGACAGCATGGCCCTGATGACCACGTGGCCTGCCTGGGGGCGGGCAAAACAGGGCGCCAGGAGCCCAAGCCCCGAGCGGAGAAGACTTACAGAGAGGGCGGTGCCCCGAGGCACCTGTTTGGAGCCCGGCCCCTGCCACCCACTGCCTCCTGCCCACCCATCGCAGTTGCCCCAGATGCCTGCTAGGCCAGGAGGTCATGGAGCCACCCCCGGGGTGGACTCTGGGTCACATCTCAGCCAGGCGACCAGCCTCCCCAGCAGCTAGCTGCCTGCCTGGGGCCAGTCCTTGCTACCTCACTGCAGGCTGGCTGCCTCCCTCTGCACATTCTCAGCCGCTGAGCACATGGATGGACAGAAGGACAACATAACAGAGATCGGGACCCACCATCATGCCCCCAACTGTGTCTGCGGCGGGGACCCACGTCCACCCTCCCCCTCCGCCAACTGAGCCTGCAGCCTGGCCCTCACCAGCACAGCCTCCAAAGGACCCACGGTCACCCACCCCCTCCCCAGCTAATGCCTGTAGCCTGCCGGAGCCTGTGGACCCCGGGACCCGGCCTCATCTGACTGGCCTTAGCTCAGCCCCGCCCTGGCCCTCTCCCAGGACAAGGCGTCTCGACAGAAGTACACGGGCAGCCTGCTGGCTGCTTGCCCAGGCCACGGGCGGTGGGGCCCCCAGCTCTCCCCACGTGAACTTGTTATCGGAATAACCAGTAGTCTCGAAGAGGGACATCACACTTCATAAAGTGTGTGTGTGTGTGTGTGTTGGGGGGGCTGCAAAACAAGAGGACCCTTGGTGGGATGGACTGACTGTGGATGCAGCAGTGGGTTTGCACGGGGAACCGTGTGATGGGCGGCATGCCCTGGGGCTGGGCGGCACCCCAGCTGCTGTACTCAGGATGTGGTCCCTGTGAGCGGACACGCTCACTCAGCTGGATGTCACTGCCAGGTCGCTCCCGCACACATGCACGCACTGGGGAAGGGCCCGGGGAGCCCTCACTGACCGCTAAGACTCTCCCCAACTGGCCTTGCACCCTCACGGGGCTCCCAAGAGAAGGACCCATTGCCCGAGCTTGGTCAGCAGCCCCCTTGGGTGTCCCAAGGGGCAGCACCCTTGGCGAGTGTGACTGCTGGCCTCTGGCTGGGCAGTGCTGCCCCGGGCCGGGCTCTCCAGGACACGCGGCTGCACCACAGGCAGCCGGCCTCCATCCGCTCCCCAGCACCAACCTGCCATTTCCTACAATGTGCTCGGCTTCCGCGACCATGAATTCGACCTTCCAAACGCTCTGTCCTCCGGGCTCTCGGGCACCACAGCGTCCTGTCACTGGCTCCTGAGCTCCATGTCCTCACTTGTCCTCGAACCAAAGCTCTTACGCCTCTGATCCACCGCGCCCGTGACGCCGGGACGGGGTCACACTTTGACTAAAAATCAAGCACAAGAGACACATTAAAACACCGCCGGGGTCCGCACAGAGAACTCACAAATGCAAACTCACTCACTGCGCCTGCCAGCCTGCCTGGCCGAAGCCCCGTTGCCACACCACGCAGCGGCAGCAGTGACCACCCCAGCTACTGGCCACCAGGCTGCCTAGCCTCGGACCTACCTGGAACTCGGGGCCTGGCCCAGCGGGGAGTGACCACAGGCATGCAGTCAGGGCTGCTGTGCAGGGGCATACCCCCCTGGGTTCACGGCCCTAGGACCCCCACCATCACGTCCAGGTAAACACTAACGGGCTGTCCCGCAAGGCCGGGACCACCCTCAGGCCCCTCGGCTGCGCACACCAGACCCCCATGAGAACGGCAGGCGCCAGCTCTGCCGCCCAGCCAGGGCTGTGGGCTCCTCCTGGGGACAGCCCTTCTGGACCTGGGTTCTAACTCGGCTGGGCCGCAGCCGCACAGGGATTGCTATGCAAAAAGGGTGTGTCCAACCATCTGATGGGATGGGTCTGTCTGGGGTCCAGCTCTGGGGCCGGCCACTTCCTGTGCTTTGACGAGCAGCCCCTCGGGACAGGATGAGCCGCTGCCCAAGAGGTGGGAGGGTCACACCTGCCACCAGCGCTTCGGGACAAAGGCCGGGCTGTCTGCTGCCGCAACCCTGCCCAGGACCTGGGAGAGTCAGAATCGGCCGCCAGGCAGGCAGAGGGTGTGGTTTACGTGATGGGCCACCTCTAAGAGCCGGGGCAAATGGAAGGAGAGACAGTTGACTGTTACAGCGCTCTGAAGTCCCCTCCCGTGAGCAGTCCCAGCAGATGTCCAGGGAGAGAGGAGCCCCCTTTAAGAGACTGCGGTCAGAACCATGGCAGGGGCGGCAGCACAGAGCTGAGTGCCTTCGGGCAGAGCTAGAGTGGAAACAGCACCCCGAGCAACAGAGGCTGGGGGCTGCGTGGATGGAGACGGAGGAGGGCTGGGGGAGCTGCGTGGATGGAGGCTGGAGCAGGGCCCGGGAGTGCTGCGTGGCCCCGTGATGAATCACCAGCCTGCAGGGAAAGGAGAGTTCCTGGTGGCGGGTTGGGGGGCTGGGGGGAGGGATGTGGGGCCCCTGACAGCCTGTGCAGATGCCGTTCTCATCCTCAACAGCCCCAAGCACCCCGTGCACATGCACCAGCCATGGCCCAGGCCTGCCCAGCCCATGGGGAGGGTCTGGGAGGACCTGAGGGTCCAGGTGGGCTGTGGTTGCCCAGTGGGGTGTGGGAACTAGTTAAACCCAGCAGGACGTGGTTTAAAAACTCACAGGAGGAGCGGCAGCAGCATGCAGATGTCACCCAGACCCATGGACCAGAGCCCAGTGGCCACACCCAGAGAATGTTCCAGGCCCCCAGGACCCTCCCCTTGGGCCAGGGGCTTTCACTGGCCAGCCGTCCAGGGGAGGAGGGGACAAGGTCTATGCGGACACAGTGGGGCCAGGGGGCCTGGCCTGCCAGTCTCAGGGCCTGTCCCTCGCTGCCATGCCATCCAGGCCCAGGCCCACCCCCTGCAGCATCAGGAGCCTGAGAGGACAGAATGTGTCAGGTGGGCGTGCCTCCACAGCCAGGAGCCACACGCCCGCTGCCAAGGAACGTGCACTGCCTACGGGTCACAGTCCCACCCTCACACTGGAACAGAACCCATGGCCCCCACAGCAGAGGCGGGGCTTCCAGGGGCCACCCAGTCCAGGCCTAGGCCCAGGCCCAATGTCCCCCCTATCCCGCCCTGCCCACCTGGCACTTGGTGACAGACACAGCACCCAGCCCGATAGGCACTGGTCCCGTGCCAGGTGTCAACTCAAACCCATGCCACCCGAGGAGGCAAGAGGTGTGGGGACACATCAGAGACTCAGAAGCCGCGAGGGAGAGGGGTGTGGGCGGCAGGTGGGGGCTCAGCCTGACCCACCAGCTTCCTGTGGTGCTGTCACATGCCACTCGGTGGGCCCCAGCGCTGCAGGCTCCACACCCCGCCCTTGCCAGGTCCCCACGGGCCACACTCGGATTGACTGTGTTTCCTGACGGCCCTCCACAGAAAAGCCCAGGAAGGGGTCCCGGCACTGGGGGCTTCCAGGGTGGGGGGTGAGTCTGCCACCCTACCTTGTTATCTTCCTCCTCTTCCTCCTTACATCGCAGGGGCACAGGGTGTGGGCTCTCGCACCCTCCATGGCCCCTGGGGCTCCTGGCGTCACTGACCCAGGCTGAGGCCCATGCTCATTCACACCATGATGATGTGGGACAATCAGTGCCATTCTGGCACCAGCCAGCTACGTCCCCACAGCCAGATGAGCGTGATCCAGAACCCCTGGACGGTCCATCACCCTTACCCCTGCTTTCCAGTGACCACCGCTGGGTCCTCTGAAAAGTGCCCCCAAACAAAACTAACCGCTTTGCCAATAAACGCCCCTGCCCCAGGTGGTCTGGAAGGGTCAGTGTTACTTGCGCGGGTGGTAGGTGGAGAGGCTGTGTCTGCTGAGAGGGCAGCCATGGCCGTGTGGGCAGGGTAGGAGGAGACTGGACCTCACTGTGGGGCCAGGCGGGCCTCAGGAGCAGAGGGTGATTTGAGACAGACCACTCAGTGGCACGAGGACAGGCCACAGGTGGAGCTGACACCTACACTCGGAGTAGCTGGGGTGGCCCGTCAGGTTACGGAGGGGCTCTGCAAGGTGGGAGATCAGGGCCTGGCCACCACCATGCTGGTCCCTGGTGGACGAGAAGGGTCAGGTGGGGGACGAGAAGGCTGCCAGAGGTCAGAGAGGCTTCTTTGGGGACACCTGGTCTGGGGGACTCCCGGGGACAGGCCAAGGTGCCTGCACTCTGCAGAAGCCCAACAGGCTTGCTGGGCAAGGGCGAGCGAGGGGGCCCCTCTGGGGAAGCCCCAAACAAGGCTCCTGTGCGGCTAGGCCACAGCTTCCCAAATGGACTGGGCCGACCGTCCCAATTGGGGGGGGGGGGGCGCTCAGCAACTCCTTGGCCACGAGAAATGTTTCCCCTACAGCCCACCACCCTGCACAGTAGGTAGCTTGTCTGCTTCTGCGGCCTCCCAGATCACCCCAGCATCCCCCAGGGGTGCTGTCACCCCCGCTGGGAAACACTGGACTAGACCCTGGCCTCGGGGGAGTCGCCAGAAAGGGCACCGGCCTCTGGCTGTACAAGGCCACCTTGGGCTCAAGGCCACACAGAGAAGGCCCCCTGCCCCAGCACCATGCCTGCTTCGTCTTAAAGCAGTCGGAGAGCTGCACCCGCCTTGGCCCAGGAGCCTGGGCGCCCAGCCTACAGGAGGGAAGAGCCCAGTCAGTGTGGTGGCCAGATGGGCGGGGCCTGGTGTCTGCCTCCACTGGCCCCCAGGGCAGGTCCTTTTCAAAACTCACTCCCACCCAAGTTGGTACCAACTCAGCAACCCCAAAGGACGGGGCACAGCAGCCCTGTGGGTTTCCAAGACTGCCCCTCTTTTCTGGAGCAAGAAAGCCTCATTTAAATTTTTTTAAAAGCCTCATTTTTCCCTCACAGTGGCTGGTGGTTTGGAACTGCCGGCCTCCTGGTTAGCAGTCCAAGCATGACCCACGGAGCCACTCGTCCAGCCCTGCAGGGAGAACAATGACAGGAAGAGTAAGGGGCAGGGTGGA